CCTTTGAGAGGTCCCTAACAGCAGACTTTCCCATTGCGATACGCTTTTTGATTTCCTGACTGCTGGTACCAAGAGTGTTGACTGTGGAGCCGAGCAAAATGAAGCTGTGAACACTCTCAATCTCTTCACCATCCATCCTGATGCTGCCAATTGGTCCTATAGCATCCTTAATTATTGCAACTCCAGGCCTGAATTTGTTCTTTAATTCCTTCAGCTTAAGAAATGCAGAACAGACAGGACAGCTGAGTCCTAGCCAAAAGATACCAGACAAGCCACTGTTGAACCCACCCACCAGGAGCAAGTAGGGAGCAACCACCCGCCACCTTGTGACTCCAGAGAACAGCCTATTGCTCCCAGCCTCCACAAGACCCCAGAGGAGCAACCACCTCCCAGCTGCTGCACAACCACAGAGGAGTGACTGCCAGCCGCAGTGTGACCCCAGAGGAGCAAAGGCCTGGCACCATGTGAGCCCCCTGCAGCCTGCCACCATGTGGCCCCACCCCAGGGCCTGCTGCTGCATAAATCCCTGGCATCACCCAAGCTCTGCCACCTGCCTCCAGGTGTTAGTGTCCCAGCCCCATGCTCCCCCTCCCACCCCAGCCCTGTACTCCATGCCCTCCACAGCTCCATGCTGCCTACTTCTATTCACCTCCCCCCACCTGTGGCTCCACAACCATGAACCTCCGCCACAGCCCTTTGATTTTGACCCCAGTCGCACCCAAGGACCACTAGAGAGTCCTTCACACTGCACAGAGACAAACCAGCACAAGAGCCATGGACAGTAGGATTTCCAATCAGAACACTTTGTTGCAGCAGTTCATTTTGGAGCTACAGGACCACAAAGCCACACTACAGATCCAGCCATTGCCCGGAACCAACAGCCGAGCAGCTAGGGAACTAATCTGGCAGGAGAAAGGCTGGTAGGATCCTGACTGGGTTTTCTGGGGCACTACCAATTACCTGGGAGAGTACCCGAGGGTGTGCCCACGAATTTGACTGAGCTCTCTTGGGCCACAGTAACTGGCCAGGAATAAGCCAGCCAGTGGTAATCTGGCTGAACTTTTGTGGGCTCTGCAGACTAGCCAGAGGCTAGTTGGTCACTGGAAATTTGACTCTGACTTTTCCGTTGGACCCAGGACCTTGCTTGGACAGGGGCTACTACATGAGGGCACCTGCATAAGTGCCACTGGGCAGGGGCCTCTGAATGAAAACCACTGGGTGGAAAACGGACAGTGGGAATTTGAGTAGGGACCCCAATCATGAGCATACCCAGACACCTGAGGTCCGAATGAAGTCCCCCAAGTGTTTGACCTGCCTTTGCAATCACCCCAGTCCTGTGCCAGCCTCATGCCATTTGGCTCCACATAGGTGCCTACACGTCTAACAATCAACTTGCCTTTAATTGGAAGTACCTTGACTTGTCTTGTCAACAAGAGGTTGCTCTCACAGGCTCTTAACAGAGGTCAGAAGTTCAGAGAAACACACAAGTGGGGTAGCTACTGAACTGATCTTTAGAGCATTGCCTTGAGATCAAGAACATGTCAATGTCTTGAAGAAAGCAAATTATCCCACACAATACACAAGAGCAATGCAAGATGTCACCCCCAAATGGTGACACAGTATTAGTCGATTTCCTGAAGCCAGAAAGTCTGATGGAACATTCTGACATAGAATTTAAAAGAATGATTGAATATATTCAATGGAAAAAAAGACAAACTTGACGAATTACAGGATGTTGTTGTTGTTGTTGTTATGTGCCGTCGAGTCGCCTGCGACTCATATCAATTTACAGGATACTAATGCAAAAAATTTCTCCAGATTTCTTGGCACAACTTGGTGAGCACATCCAGGGCAACATCTGTTATCTGAAATACTTCAATTGGTATACCATCTATTCCTGGGGCTTT